ACCCTAAACCCCTCTGAACCAGAAACACTGGAGTCTAAACCTGTAATGTTGTCCTAGTTTGCGAGAGCTGAGCAGTTTTCAAGATCGGCGATCCCAACAACCTCAAGCTCGACGGTATCAGGTTTTTGTTCGTTGCGGCGGGGCTGTGCTTCGTTATACTAGACTGCTGCCACTGATCTGAACCATGAACCCGTGGGGTCTTTGGAGTCAAAAGCTGCTCTTGTCCTCGAATGCAGGAGCCTAAATAACTACCAATACTATTTTGGCGGTTCCTTATTATACTCGTAGTTATAGTATAATATACCCCACAACCCTATTATAATTAGGAAGGCCCCTGCATTAGCAGTCAGGGCCGTGTGAAGATGATTGCATCATACTCTAAGCATGTATTTAACAGGTCCAAATGCCCATTCCATGAAGTTGTTGTTTACGCCCCAAGCAAAGGGGACCCTTTGCGGGGCCAACGTCTGTTAGTTCCGTTTGGGATGACTACTGATGCAAGCTCCTATACATTCTCAGATGGCAAAATCCTTGATGTTTAGAAACCCCACATTTCCGCTTCCATTCTGAGGAGTTCATATTGGATTCGTTAGCTGGCTGACCTTCGGTGTGCCGGCGGCCCTGCTTGTAACCGCCGTGTGCTATGGGTCATTGCTTCTCAGCTGCATAATAATCGTGGATGTTGGGTTGAAGGGACACTGAGTTTGTGCCTTTCGGAACTTGACCCCAAACCCGACCCTGAGAGTCCATGCAGCTCAATAACTAGTAACCAGTCTTTATTGGAGAGTTGTTCTGAGCCCCCGGCTCTTGACCGTAGACGAAAAGTGCACTTTAATAGCTTGATGCAGGTTAAGGACCTGCTACAAGACCAGCACAGCGCAAGCGGGCGCAAGGGCGAGCGCAAGGGCGACAAGCAGTGTAAGGAATGTGTTTAACACCGTGTGCGCGCAAGAGCGGGCAAGGGCGAAGCGCAAGGCGATTCTCGAGTTACGGGCTGCAGCCATAATAAAGAACAAAGTTTAATAGGCTTGGCCCTTCAAGAGGTTTCCATATTATGTACGCTGTTGCCAAAAATGTGCGGTTGTACTGGTGCATGTACCAGCACATGTACCCTTACCCTAAGGCTCAAAATGGCACTTGGGGTTCGGGAGCTTATAATCTGGGGTCTAATTCATGCAGGGTTATCGATACAGATGACGCCTGTGGCAGCTTGCTAGCTGAACTCCATACCTCGCCATGATAGAAGAGAGGTCACCTGAGCATTACAGAGAGTGTGGCTGTACACCCCACCGCCTGGAGAAGTCCCAAACTCCGCATCACGAGGTTCTTATGCTATCGCCCGCAGACCGCTGCTAATGTGGAGGTTCCCGATCCACCGTTCTGGGTGTAGAGTCTCTGTTGCAAACTCTGTGGCGGGCGAGATTTGGGATGAAACGCCTCTCAGCGATTTGAAAGTTGCACCACGAAGTTTTCGAGGGCTTTGAGGCTCCGGCAGCGTCCACCACCTGATCTCACAAATGCCTGGATTCAGTCGTTTAGGGTGTAGACGAGGCTGGTAACCTTGACCCTCCACCTTTGCTTTTTTCTAGGGCCCTGTCAGCCCAACAGCTACAAATATTCCCACATGGACGCTTCTTCCTTAGACACGTAGGATCTCAGCACGAGGTCACTAGACCCAATTAAACTTGTTTAAAAAGTCATTGCCAAACTAGGAAGAGGGCACGATTAGGAATTCCCGAAACATGTGACGAAAGCTTTGGCACCCATACCTTCGAAGCCTACGCCGTAAAGCCTCAGAGCCGTAATCTCTAAATCCGAAGAGCCCTAAAGTCTGCGCCCTGTGCCCCTCAACATCAACCCTAGATTGGTTAGGAACCCAAAAGATTCTTAAGATCATGTGGCAGGTGCTGCACAGCTCGCACCCCGTGGCGTGGACGCGCGGGGAGAAGGCAGGGGACAGTGGTAGCCATCCTGACAAAATGTGAGGGTTCACGGTTCGGGGCTTTGCGATGGCAAGAGCAGCGATCTAAAGGGACGGCGCTGGTGACGCTAGTGCTGTCTTGAAAGAATCCTACACTTAATCCTAAACCCTGCGCCTATATACCCTCAGCCTAAGCCGGGTTTTGACAGGCCTCTATGCAGTTATATAGGTATATTACTTAGAGCCCTTTCCTGCAGCAAAGCTTCCACCCCTTGAAAGCCCAAGCTCTCTTCGCAGGCGGTTCTGGGAAGCTTTCTGCTCACCCTCGGGCTGTGGATCATCCCATCCATCTACAGCCTCGCTGGTGGACCCGGCCACCAGGACAGCGTCTTAGGGTTTTGGGGAAGACGTTTTAACTTTTGGGGCTTGCTGCTAGTATCGCTAGACCCCAAAGCCGTAAACCCTGAAACCCTAAAGCCTTGCACGATCGTAGGGTTTAGAGCTTCTGGGTTCTTCGCCCAGATGAAACCCTACATAACATTCAAAGAATACTTGGGCACTCCAACGATCTTCACGCAGCCCTTATAGAAACGCGCCATGCAGCAAGTAGGGATTCGGGCACATACTAGGCAGCCGAGTCTCAGAGTGTGTCGGTCCTAGGGTTTACGCCTCTAAGCCCAGGGCAGTCAGGGGCTTCGGGGTTTACTATACGATATATATATATATATAT